CCCCCCAGGTCGACCCATAATGAGCTAGCGACCGACAACCTCTGCCTCACTGGGCCGGACAACAACAAGCGCCCCCAAGGCCCTGCCACAGGCCTCTGAATCTCTCTCTCTGTGTGTGTGTTTTGCCAATGATAACAAAACAAAATTAAACAAAACAAAACAAAATAAGTAAAACTCAAGCTTTCAAGTGAAAGATAGTTTTGGAAAACCTGCAACTGCCACCTTGAGACAGACAGCTTTCCAATACTTGACTTTTCTGGTGACTTCAGTGGTGATATTAATGAATGTGACTTTTTTTGCCATTGCATAATGCCGTGGGTCAATGTTTGGAAGGCTTGTATAACTCAGTGAACCAATATTTTAAGATGACCAATGGATTATGTTGCAAATTCACTCATGGGTCTTTAAAAATGCAACATATTCCAATGAATCTTAAAGTAACAGTATAATAAGTTCATTGATATGATTTTTGAGTCCATGTGGCAACTAATCTTTAAGAAACTACCACTTGTTGAGTTTTGTTGTGTATCCAAATATCCACAATATCTGAAAACGATTGAAATACCCTCTCTTTTCCAATTACACATTTTGTGATTGGTTAGATTATCTTCATCTACTTCAACCAAAGCAGCAGATATGTGATTCTAGTTACCTTACATCAAGCCAGACATTTAAATTGTAAAACTCTTCTCACTAATTATTTGGAAAATACATAGTTTTCTCATAAAATTTGTTATTTATGGTAATAGGATTAATTTTAAATGAATAAATAGTTTTAAAATTATGTTTTAATTTTTGCTGTGGTAAAATCAATAAATATGAGACATATAAATAAAAGCTCTTACGCATCCTCAATAATCTGTAAGAGTATGAAGCGGTCCTGAGATTAGAATAAAGTTTGAAAATTGGTGGGCTACATTTAGTCTGACATGGGTATAGTTATTATCCCCACTTTACAGATGATGAAATTGACGCTTAGAGATATAAAGTAACTGTCAAAAGTCAAATAGCTGTGGGTTGTGAAACAAAGATTCAAACTCCAGTAGAATGACTCCAGAACTTAACACTTGTCACCACTAAAAATGCTTTCTGGAGTTAGAAAGCTCAGAAAACTCAACTTCTCCATCTCCCCAATTAGAACAGAATTTTTAGTGCTCTTTTTAAATTCTATTTACCCTACTTTCTTCCAGGTTCTAAAGACATGGGGCTGTTTATCTGCAAATCCTATATCAGTGATGGTGAACCTATGACACGTGAACTCATTTTTTGGGTTGATTTTTCTTGGTTAAGTGGCGACTGCTCAACTGCTCGGTATGATGTGCACTGACTATTAGGGGGCAGATGCTCTGATTGGTAGGTTAGCTTGCTACTGGGGTCCGGCCGATCGAGACTGAGCGAGATGGGCTGGAAACACCCTGGAGCCCTCCCAAGGTCCCTCCCATGCCTGATTGTGCACCAGTGGGGTTCCTTAGCCTGGCCTGCACCCTCTCGCAATCTGGGACCTCTCTGGGGATGTCGGAGAGTCGGTTTCAGCCCAATCCCACAGGCCATTCCCCTTGGGAGGGCGCCAGACGCAGGGCTCATGGCTAGTGAGCGCTGCTGTGGCAGCACAAGCCTCCCCCAAAGGTGACTGATTGGGCGCGAGCCCGTGACAGGCACAGTGGGGCTGGGATGAGTGGGAGCGGCAGGTAGGAGCTGCAGGTAACATTGGACTGTAGGTTTTGGCCCAATCCCTGCAGGCCACCCAGAGGGACCCCACCTGTGCATAAATTCGTGTACCGGGCCTCTAGTATAGTGAATAAAGTTAGATAAAACACAGCCTAGGAAAAGGAAGTGCAGTGATAGGATGACTTAGAACCCATCTGGGTAAGGCTTTTTCTCTTACTGCGAAGCAGGAAATAGAAGGCCAAATATGAGAGAATCTGGGGAAGGGTGGCTCAGTTGGCCAGGGTATGTGGCAGGAAGATCCGACTCCAGGACTGGAATTTGCCCTGTTCCATGTCCTTAGTTCAGGAATATCCCAGGGATGACCATATCCTGGTCCACGGTGACACAGGATCGACAAAACCCTCTTTCCCATTGAGCTTAGAGACAACCTCAGTCTTTCTCAAGGCTGGTCCCATTGAATCATTGCACATCAAGAATGTGGTGTATGTGATGAAACCTTTTACCATCCTGGTTTTGTGTTGTACCTGTAACACATCTGAGATGCAGGTATGAATCTCTCAAACACAGAGCCCATCAAGAGGCTGTGGATGACTCATTCCCAGTACTGGAAAAGCAACTCCTGGTGTGCCTGTGGAGTGTTCACTGGCTGCATTAATTAGGAAAGATCGAACCCTCTTTTGTCATCCAGGCCTTGTAGACATAGAATGTGCAGTAGTTAATAATGGGCCAGAATAGGCAGGAAACTGAACTGTACTAATAAAACACTGTGGTGGCAATAAAGCAGAACCATGAACCAGCCTCGTTTGTAGATAAGCAGAGAGAATGAGTGACGAGTAGAAGATTGGGGAGCAGTGGGGTCAATTAATTGTAAAGTGGTGGCAAGGAACACGGTGGGCAGAGGGTCCAGGTGACAGGAAGGACAGGCCCAGCTGGAGCCAAGATTTGGGTGGGAAGGCTTGCTTCCATGATCACGCTCTCTGTCTATCTGCTCATGCAGCCCAGCTCAGCCTACCATTGTGGCCTACCAGTGGGGTCATGAGTGCTGGGACCAGGGTGGTAGCTTGGGGAAGCACAGGATGAAGTAAGTGCTCTAGCTTCAGACAGTCCTGAGTTCACATTCCTACATTACTTCCCCTGTGATTCCCACTCTGCAGGGGTTAAATGAGATTATGAATATAATGTGCTTTACATAGTCCTGGTAGACCAGTAGTGCTTTTAAAAAACGTGTGTTTCCTCCTCCATCACTTACCTACCCCTTTTTCTTTCTTTCCCAGCATACATCTTCTAACCTTCTACTTCTGCGTTTGTGTGTAGTGTGGAACAGAACTGAATACTGACCAGGGTGGCCATGTCTTGGCTTGCGCAGACAGTGCTGGTGTGTGCTATTGACTCAGACTTTTGAATAGTCTTCCCTTTCACTCACAAAATGACCTGGTTTGAGAATAAATGATCCTAGTATGACCTTTGGCTCTCTGCCCTCTAGTCTAGCGTTCTAGCCATGATCCCAGGCTGCCTTTTCTGAGGAGGAAATCACCAGGGAGCTTTGGGCTGGGGTATATCCCTCCAGAGTGGCTGTGGAGTTGACAGGCCTCTCCCCCCAACCCCCAGAAAACCCCCTAATTTGTATCTTTGTCACTGTCTGGGGGACCCCAGCATGAACTGGCTGGCTCTATGCTTTCCACCACATATTCCTTCCCTTGGGGTTTCTCTCCTTGAGGAGCTTTTGCTGAAACAAGACACGGACCCCACAGAGTTTCTCCCCTTCCCTTTTCTATTTGCTTCCTGCCAACAGTTTTTCTGATATGTTTGGGGGAAGAAAGAAGGAGGACCAAAATAATGCACAAGAGGAAATCACAGCCCTACTCAGACCAGATCCTCACCTTCATAGGACACATTCCCATGAGAAATCCTGGTCTAACCAGAATGAAACTTCAGAAAATGATACAAGAAGTGTAAACACTCATTTAAAGCTACGTGCCAGGTCCTTTACAAGTATTATCTCACAGCAACCATGGGAAGTTGGCTACGAGGCATTTTTTTTTCCCACACTTGTTAATGAGGCAACAAAGGCTTAGAAAGGTTAAGAAACTTGTCCAATTACTCCAATAATTCCTCTATTTTGACTGAAAAGCTGAGGCAAGTTGGGGATCAAACTGGGGCAGCCAGTCTCCAGAACTCTTGCTCATAACCATTTTACTAGTGTCCTCAGAATGCAGGAAGCAGAGACCCCACCCCAGAGGTGTAGCCAGGATGGAACCTGGAGAATGCTTGCCTGGGATGGGGCTGAATTTGCGGCGGGGTGCATCCATGTTTCTGAGAAAAGTCATTACACTTTTGCCATTTCTACTTGTCTCTCCATGGTTTTGCCTTTGCCTTGCTTCCTCTGACTGTTTTTCATTTGAGTCTTAAGGTCACATCCTCACTACAGCTTTCAAAGCTGTTTAAAATGCACCATTCTGGTGACTTCAGAAGGGCCACCCCCCCTCTCCCGTCCCCCCTCCTGTTGGCACTGATTTTTCACTGTTGTGTATTCAGGGCTTATCATGATAGAGAAAGAATAGCATCTCCAAAGGCACTCTGATGTTGGGTGAACATGGGGAGGGTGGACGAGGCTGCTGCACTGGGGTGGGCCCAGGGAAGGAATTTTCTAGGTATTGAACTGCACAGTTTTGCTCATTTTGGACCAGTTCTTCCTGTGAGGTCAGCCAAAGGGGGAAATGCTTTTGAATGCTCTTCACCTTTGGCTTCCCAGTGTTAAGATCTCTACTGTCTGATTGTATCATGTGTGGTTTTGTGTGTTTTTTTTTTTTCACTGATGCAACTAACTTTCCCTGATTAAGATTGGGACTTTTTCTGTAAGGTCATTTTAGACCCTTTTGGTGGAGTTTTCATATCTTGTCTTTCCCTCTGATGTTTTCTTTACTTAAGCTTTATTTCAGGTTTCACTTAGTAATCCCCCTGCCCCTGCTCCACCCTAATTTTTAGATGTAGATAACAGAGAGTACCCGCCACAAGCCATCAGGTTCTCATTCTGCTCTGTAGTCTTAATGAGAAATAAAACTAAGACCAAGGCTGAAGGCCATTTGGAAGGACAAGATATACCTCCAAGATGGGTCCTTTTAGTTGGAGTAAATCCAAGACAATAATACTACATATTTTTAGCTTTGGAAGT